GGAAATGGTTATCAAAATTATCACCGATTGCCTGCAAAAAGTGGTTTCCCTAACATAGTCGCCAAATATTGATACCGAGCACGTAATCCTACGTCAAATCTACGGTCGAGTCTTGGATACAACCTCTTACTTTTTTTGTGTCGATTATTCTTTTCAACACACCATCAAGGAGAGCCATTTTGTTTCTATCAAAATTTTCAGTGCGAACAAAGTGAGTCGGCCGAAGCACGGTCACATACACGCCACATAGAAGTCAACTGTGGTAGCCCAGCAGTTTTGGTGTAGAAGTGTTTTTTTTTGTGCACCACCGGTCGATGAACTTGCCTGGAGTTCAGTGAACCTAGCTGGCACAAAGTCTACAAGGAAATTTTCTCGTCAATAAATTTTCAAAGTGGTTATATTACAACTAATCGGCGGTGTTTCTGATTCTTGCTGCTGGATTTGGTTGCTGCTGTGCTGTTGGATTATTGCTGTTGTTGGTTGCTGTTGAGCTCGTAGCCGCGAGTGGATTTTCATTTCGCCGGAAGGATTTTTCAGGTACGTGAGTTTATTTCTAATTTTTGCTTGCGTTTTTTTTTTGTGCACTGGGTGAAAAACTTCAAGCAGTATTTTAATATTTTTTTATTTTTTTATTTTTTCTTTTGGTTGTGTGATTTTTTGTTATTTGAAATTAGAGAATGTTGCAAACAACAACCGAACCATTTTTGCCAGGTACTATACCTTTTGCTCAGTACCTGGAGCAATTGGAGTATATTTTTTTTACATAACAGTATTAAAGAAGACCATTACAAAACCTCGTTTTTGGCGGTTTGTGGTCGAGAAGTTTTTACTCAATTGAAGCTTCTTTTTCCGGGGAAAGACTAAAGATTTAACGTACAAACAAATGACGCAAGAATTAGCTAAACGTTTTGATAAAAAAAGACTCAGATGTCATACACAGCCAGCGTTGCCAGATATACCGATTTATCGGTATTTATACCGATTTCCGAACTAGATACCGATATACAGATAAGGTTCCTCAGAATACCGATTTTTGAGGTCTTATACCGATTTATACCGATTTTTTTAAATAATCAAAATGATAATTGCCTGCCCGTGCCCGAATTTCGGAGAAAATTATTGTGAAAGACTTGTTTCTTTTGGAATATCTCAAATTTAAAAAAAAATCATCTTCAAAAATGTCATATGGATACTCTTTCGATTAATGTTTCAATTTCCTCACCGTTTTTGCAAATATTTCATATTAACAATATGATCCATTCATGCCTTTTCCAAATATTGCAATGGCGATCCGCAAAATATTGCTTCACGCACCATCTAGCGTTGAAAAAGGTCAGCAACAATCATTCAATTACAATCGAGGGATGCGAATATAGCACTAATTACAAAAGTAAGAGTCACATAATGTTCATCAATTACATTGTGTATATTACTTTAAAATTTGTCTGACATGTCACTGTTGTCATAAAAGAAAATAATATGCTGAAATACATTAATTTGAAATATTAAACAAATTTTCATTTGGACTACCCCTCATGACGATAACCAAATACATTGGTAGCCTTTTTGGCCACAGAGGTGCTTTCATCGCTAAAAATTTGGTTTGCCAGCTAAGCGAAAGAGTGGATCATATTGTTAATGTAATATATTTGGTTTTTGGCTACCCATGAATCGATAAACAGTCTATGGCTCTTTCTGGTAATTCCGGGGGAATCGGGAAATACTTTTTAAACATTATTTAACTTCCTGGATTTTCTTCCAACTTTCCCCTGGAATTTTCTTCCACCTTAGCTTCTTCAGCCTTCGCTCGAATGATTCTTCCATTGTCTCCCGCCAGTTTTTTCAACTTTCCTGGAACTTCAGGGATGCTTCCAGATTTTGATTGCGGATCCACACTAGCTGCAGAAGTTCTGAAACCTCGGAAAAGTTCAGGCTTTTGAGTAAGTTTCGATAAATTAATGAATGTTTCAATAACTTCTGTTAATATTCTAAAACCCGGTCCAGCGAACTCCAGTGAACTTAAGTATACATCATAAATATTTTGGATACTTCACAAGTCCAAAGAACTTCTGGAAAATTTAAGGTTTTCATGACAGTTCCATTAGTTTCAGGAGAATTGAGTGAACTGTAGGAAGCTCCGAGAACATCAGGACAGATCAATAAATTTCACGGAAATCGCTGAAATTTTAAAGAAGTTCCGAGAAACTCAGGCAATTTAAGTTTTCGGAAATTGCAATGGTGTGACCAATGTTCCGAGGGGTTCATGCAAATTTAAGAAACGTAAGAGAAGTAACATGAACATTAGCACATTGTGAGAACATTTTATCGGAAGTTCCGTGCTTATTAATGGCAGTGTCGATAACTTTTAAAAATTAGACAAATCGGGAAGATCAGAGAACTTCAATGCTGATGTTACAATAAATTCAAGAAAATTGGGGGCAACCCCGGCGTAGAGGTTAGTTTTCATACCTCTCACGCCAAACGGCATATCGGAGGTTGAATAGGATGGGGTCAAGGATGCTTCCTTGTGGAACCCCGGCACCGATGTTGAAAGCATCCGATGAGATGCCATTCAGAGAGACTCGGAACGTCCTGTCTGATAGATAGTTGCTTATTATCTTCACTAGGAAGATTGGAAGACCGTGCTGCTGCAATTTGAACACCAGGTCATCATGCCAGACATTGTCGAACGCTTTTTCAACGTCCAACAACGCCATGGCAGATGTTTTCGAAACAGACTTGTTCCGTCTGAGAATGTTTGTTACTCGAGTCAGCTGGTGGACGGTCGAACGACCTTTCCGAAAACCAAACTGTTCCTCGAGTAACAAGTTGTTTTCATCGGCAGAAGTTAGGAGCCGGTGGTACAGTGCTCTTTCGAACAGTTGACTTTTAATCTCACTCTCGGACAAGTCACAAATGACCCAAGAGCGTTAAAGTGACTATAATTTAAAAAAAAATCAAGAAAATTGTGCGCTTAAGAAATTTGGTAATCTAGAAAGTCTAGAGACCTTCAAAATTGATTAGAGATATTCCGGTAGTCCCATTATAATTAGGGAAGTTCCGAGTATTTCAAAAATGATAAGAGTACTTCAAAACAGCCTAAAATCCCTAAGTACATTTCAGGAATGTTCCAACAACTTCAGGGGCATTGTGGGGTCTCCAGGGATGTTTATGACCATTTGGAAAAATTTCTGGATCATCAGAACATCCCCCAGGAGCTCTTTATTCCGGAATTATCTCCTTGCTTCTTTCGACTGTTCCGTAAGCGCTCTGGCTTCCGACTTTCTCCAGAAATTTCTTTAAACTTCTCCCAGAAATTTTTTTCGCCTAGTTCTGGAATTTTGTCCAGTTGGTTTTTTTTTTACTCCTATTGCAAGGTTTTTCCGAACTTCTTTTGGCTTCCCCTGGAAACGGCTACTTCTGAAATTTACTTCCAATTTCCGATACTTTTCTGTCTTCCTTTGAATGTGAAATCCGATTTTTTTCTGACAGTTTCTTTGAATTTTCGCCAGAAGCTTCTCAATTTATGTCTTGGAAGTTCCGCGGATGTTTTTCCGACTTCTCTCAGAACTTTCCTCAAATTTCCTCCAGGAGAGCTTCTTTCGACATTCTCTGGATGTTGTTTTCAGCTTCCTCCAGAAGCTAATTCAAACATTCCCGGAGTTTTCTTTTAAAATTTTCCGATCATAATCCAAAAGTTAATTTTTTTCCTTTCAAAAACGGCAAAAATATAAAATTAATTAAAATGGTAAACACCGATAGATACCGATTTTTTAAAACCTCTGATACCGATAAGTTTTAAAGCATTCTGGCAACGCTGTACACAGCTATAAATTTTGGACTCGCCATCAAGGACAGTATGAGAAAGCAATAGATTTTGACCTTGCAGTTAAGCAACTAGAAAAGGAATGTGATTTTGGAGATTTTAAGGACCGCGCAATTCGAGACGTGTTAGTTATCGGTGTTTTCGATCGTCAGCTGCAAAAGCGACTATTTGATGAAGATGACCTTACCGTCGGTAAAGCTAGAAAAATCATTATCAATCAAGAAATCTCTAGCGATAGAACGCGTTATTTAAAGGACGATGATGATAATAGAGCAAGTGCTCGTGGTGGCGTAATTGCAAGGCTTGGTCCTAGAGTTGATCGCTCTCGGGTTAGATGTGACCGTAGGGACAGAAACAGAAGTAGGAGTAGAAGTTTTAGCCGTGACAGATCATTTTCCAAAAGATTTTGTAGATTCGAGAATAAACGCGATTACAGTAACAGTATGCCATCATTTTTGTGTTCATTTTGCAAAAACCGCGGTCACACTAGAAAGTTTTGCTACAAACTAAATGATAATAGTCCGCGCAAGAATCGAAGCAGCGTAAATTGTAACAAAATTCGGTTTTTGATAAATTTTCGGCCTTTTTGGTTTTCGGCCTTTTGTGGTACTTTAGAATTTTTTTTTGGCCTTTTGTGCTTCGGCCTTCTGTACGGGTCCCATTCATACACACACAAGAAATGCGGAAGATCATAACCACTAAGGCACTATTGGCCGTCGCCGGTGGTGTAGTGGTAAGCGTGACTGCTTTCTCACCCCAATGGGTCTGAGTTCAATCTCAGCCGAGGTCGGTGGGATTTTTCTGAGGCATAAAAATCTCTGGTCACGTCTTCCTTCGGAAGGGAAGTAAAGCCGTTGGTCCCGGCCCATGTGTGTTGAATGGGTGCGATATCCTACGCAGGTGTGGAAGCTGCTTTCCTGCACATTCGATGGCATTCAATGAATGGCAATCGATGTCCGTCGGTGCAGCAGCGCCGGTGGTGTAGTGGTAAGCGTGATTACCTCTCACCCCAGCAGGCCTGGGTTCAATCCCAGTCGATGCCGCCGGGATGTTCTGAGGCATAACATCTCTGATCACGGACTTGAAAAAAATAGCAAAGTTCAGCAGAAAAAAGCAACTGCGCTTTAATAATACACTGGACGTGTTCAATGACCCGCGACACCCGTGTACTCACCTGCTTGCCCCGAAATTCAATCTGGAAGTTCTTTGCCGATTCCTGCGTTACACGTCCACCAAAGTCCAGCTGGTACACTTGGCTATTCTCGTTCCACATGGGCGCCTTATTGTGCATAACGAACTCTCGCCTCACCGGTGCCTGTGGCTGAAATGAACTGGTCACTCCATTCGGTTCGATTTTGCCTCGTTTCAGCTGTAAAATAAGTAAAACGTTCAATTCCACGATATTCAAGGAATGCACTTTAACTCTCACCTTCTGTCTCAGTTGCGCCTTCTGGAACGTTTCCAAGTCCCGGTACTGCTTGTTGACCCCACTTCCTCCGCTACTTTCGTCGGTCTGATTCAGCAATTGGTTTTCATCGTCCGAGCAAGAGCTTTCGGTATGCTGCTTCTTCCGCTGCCGTCGGTTAAGCAGCGGAGAATTCAGTATATGGCGAATGGGTGAAGCACTTTGGTGGCGTTTGCTCTTTTTACTGGGAGCTGGTGAAGCCGGTGAACTACGTGGTAAGCGGGAATTCGATGGCGAAGAGGGCGGTGTCAATCGACCTTCGTCCAGATCTCGCAATCGGCTGATGATGTTCTCCAAAGTAGTCAAAGCCTGCGTGTGTAACGACACGGAAGCCTTCTGCTCAATGGGGGTGATTTCAACCGGTTGCAGAGGAGGGCCTTCACCGTTGTTATTTTCCAAGCTCGGCCCAGGACAACTGTCGTTCCGCCGATGGCGACGAGGTGATTCATCCTTTCGTCGGCTTCTTCGGCTTTCTCCATTTTCGGTCTTGCTGACCTCGCTGTCGGCCTTCCGGCTCATCACAGGCGTATTATTTTCACTTTGCAGTTTCGAAGAGTCACTGCGATTTAGAGAACGATGTCTCCGACTAAAAAGAGGGCTATCGGTGAAGCTTGTAACGATTTCGAAGTTTTTCCTCATCTTGGACTTTGGCGTACTGCAGGTTCCATTGACGTCAGCATTGCTATTGTTATTTTTCTTGTCAACAGAATTCTTGCCACCGATTGCTCCATTGGGGTTGTCCTTGAGGACTAGTTCACCATTATTACTGTAAACCGAGCTGATGTACTGTTCCAAAATGGATCGCTTAGACTTCTGTGGCGCTTGCGGAGGCTTCGCGCTGACTATGTCCACGTAAATGTGATTTTGATGGTCTTCTATGCTATTGTTTTCTTTATCTACTCCATTCGAAGTTGCTGCTCCACCGTTTTTCCGGCACTTGACGCATACCAACTCGGTCGAGTTGACCGTCGGTGAAATCATCTTGCAAATGGAACAAGACTTTGGTTTCTCTTTCCGGTTAAGGATGGGCGTTTTGGAGATAGGTTGAGTGAAGCCGGTTACACCGGGAAATTTCATCGACGGCCTTCGTTTGGATGCTGCTCCCGAGGATGACACACAGCTGGATTGCACCGCCGGGCGCATCCGTTCGATTTGATCTGATGACGAGTATTCAGTCTCATTTTCTGATAGTTCACTCACTTTGGGCATCTGGCGGAAGAGGTTTATCAAGTCGCGGTTCAAATTTGGCGAATCCTGCAGAATGTCGCACGAGTCCAGGCTTTTCGATTTGCAACCCTGGCGGAGTTTCGCTTTCTTCAGATCGTCAAAGTTTTTCCGGTACTTTTTCTGTCGCTTTTTATCGACCAGGACCAGCCGCTTGTAGGGAGTTTCCTTTCGCATCATCGAAAGAACGGCGTCACTGGGAACAATTTCCATATTATCTAGATATCCTACGCTACAGCTACGGGTAATGGATTCGGGAATTCCACTTGTTACTACCGGTGTCATTGAAACCACGGTCGGAGTGCGTTTCATGGTAGATCCTGCAGGAGTGCTGTTGCAATTGCTAGTACTAGTTCCACTGGTACTGGGCTCCTGAACCACAGGCGTAGCAGAGGTAGACGGCGTTTCTTCGTCGATGTACTTTAGATTCTGCTTTTTCGGGGTTCCATGCTTACTGCTACTAGCTGCAGAATGTAATGTTTCTCTACTACTACTGGCTTTGGCCTCTATCCGTTCCAGATTTAGATTAAGATTCAGTGGAACGGGATTTACATGGGATTGATTGTTGGTACGGTTGTGATCCGACGACATTAGCGCATTTTTTACCTGTACAACGTTGTTTACATAGTCCGTATTGCTCGAATAGCTCATAAGGGTAGTTTGTCCGGCTGGTGGTCTATCAAAAATGATATCACTCGGGGCGACGGCATTCTTTGGTGATTGCAACGTTGGAACGGATCCTTCGCAGTACAAGGGCGAGATGGCAACACGTGATTGGCTACTGGACGCAGACGATGGTCTACTGCATTGACTAACAAAACTAGAATAGCTAATTCCCTGGCGAGGAGGTGTAGCAATGGTTCGCGGTGGTTCCCCTCCATCAGGGCCATCGGTGTCATCTTCGTAGGATTCGGCACGGGCCAGCGGTCCCAGGTGAGGCAACGGTGGACGACCGCTCGATACAAGCGAGGAAGGCGTTTGACGACGTGGTCGCGAAGGAAATCGATTCGGCCGCGGGGACATCGGAGCTATCGGAGGTGCAGCTTCGACTAGCTTGCGACTACTGGAACCGGTTTGAGTTTGGTTGTGATCTTCTTCGTCTTCGGAAAATATGTTAGGATTAAAATTAGGATCCGGCCCGGTTGGAAAATCGTCCCGGAGTTCGGTGATGACCAGGGTCATCTGGCGCGGTTGCAAATGGAGTAACGATGTCTTGTAGGTAACTTGACCGAGGTTGGCTGGAAGAGTTTTCGCCAAGCCATGGATTTTGAACTTGGTTCCCCAGATATTGGATGTCACTTCGACCAGTTTAACGTGCTAAAAAACGAATCAAATGTATAAGCAGTCCCCTCTACGATTCAATAATGTTAAACGAACCTCCGGTAGAGTGTCCAGGTAAGCCAATTCTTCGTTATTCTCCGCGGAATCAGAATTCTGATTGGGCGATCGATCGCTAGTACTGGGCTGTCGCTTTTTGGTACGAGCTTTCCGTTTCCTGGACATCCGAGGTGACCCTACAAGGACATACATATTAAGCCCAGACCCATAAATAAGCCCGAAGCACAATACTTACGGCAACCGTCATCTACATCGCTTTCCGAACTGGCATCTGACCTTCCGTTTGTTCCACTCGTCGAATGGCTCGACGCCGACGAACTTTTCGAAGTGGTGATTGTAGAATCTGATGAGTAGGTGACGTAAGAGGAAGCTTCTGTAATCGAAAATTGGGTAGCATCTACCAAAATCTGGCTTAGCATGTAGTGAAAAATATTTACCATCAATCTGTGGATCGAATATCACAAATTCCGGTCGAATCTTGGACGTACGTTTTCCTTTCAGCAGCGGGACCAATCCACCAAGGAACTCCAGATACAGCGTATAGCAGGTACCCGAGCTTTGGTTTGCATCTTCATCGTGTCGGATCATCGTACAGTGTAACCGCGTGGAACAGATGGGTGGTCGGGAGACAAACTCTCTCAAATATTTCAAATCCGGAACGCAGCACTGAAATTATTATATTGTTTTTGATAATTTAAGGGTATTTAAAAAAAATCGATCAACAACCCACCCTAATGGTTTGGGCAAACAGATTCCCTATCAATGCCTTGATTCTTCCAGGCAGGGGTAACTTTGGCAGCATGGCTTCGGACGTCAGTGAAGCTTGCACTTGTAATCTACAGAACAGCTGCAAGGAGGCAACCCGTCGTGAAACCCAAGCTATGTGCACCTGAGTTCCCGTAGCGATGAATATTCGTTTGTCATTATGACCCCACGTTAGCGCGGACACGGGCGTCTGTAAGAATAATCGATTAGTGTCTTGTAAAATTCAATCAGAACTACTCTGTTACCGTAGTGCAAGGTATCTTGACCGAGTAGAGCAGATTCCCCGATTCAGTATAAAACTTCAGCAGGTTGTTATAAACCGGCAATATGTGAGCATCAGTTATCTGGGATCCAGGAACCAGTTCACTACCGGCCACGGCCAACAACTCCCGCGAATTACTCCACTCCATGACGAACCCCAGCGCTCCATTCATTCCCGTATGTATGTGACACGGCGACACGTCGTCGAAAGACTTCAGCAAATAAATATACCCGTTTTGGAAGCTTACAGCTAGTACAAAAGATCGTTTGGCTGAAAATATTAATTATTAGCATCTCTAGCCCAGTAAATGGTAGCCCTAGCAAAAAACCTACAAGCATTGGTAACTCCTGGCTCCGTATCCTCGCCTTCTTCCATCTTGAACTTTTCGCATGACCACGCCATTGCGGTGATTCCAACGTCCGAGCAGAGCTGAACCTGTGAAACCATTGCCCCGTGCACGTCCATGACGATGATCTGACCCTGAGTCGTGCCAAAGTACACCTGTTGATCGTCCGGTGTCCAGATGCCGCAGGTGATTGTCGCGTCCAGGTTCAACATCGACGACCAGTACCGTTGGCCTGCGACGGAACCGACCAGCACGAAACCATCCTGAAAATAAAAAAAATAAAGAAAGAATGTAATAGGTACGCTTCATTGTGGAGTGGTTCACGAACTTTTGTTGAATGCGACCGACCCAAAGTCAAAAAGTGGCTTTAGATGCATACTATTAAATAGCCTTAAAACAAACGCTAAACTATATATTTTTTCTAGAGATTCCCTCCCAAGTCAGAATTCAAGCTGAACAGTAAGAACAGAACTGATTATTGGTTGAGTTAAGGTGTACGAAGCTGATTAACACCAGAGTGAATATATAGTTTATTAGTAGTGCAAGTGAATTGTATCCCTATACGCCTTTTTAATGCACCACCAACGTAGAGTGCGCCACGCGAGTTCGAGAAGAAACGGCAACCAAACCGTTTGTTTACATCAGAATAAGTATTTTCCCCAACGCAAATAACAGCATTTTTCATTCAAAATCTTGCCAATTTCCATCGGCAATTGTCTTATTGTACGATTTTCCACAAATCTGAACTGATTTCCACCTTAACTATTCACACACAAGAAATCCGGAAGATCATAACCAGTAAGGCACTTTTCTAATTTTTCATTTTTCTCAACAAAAATATTCCTGAACACCAGCAGGATCTTTTCCAAAACGTTACAGAATTAAATTTTTCAACTGTAGATTAAGTTTTGCAGCATCTCAGATGAATCAATTTATCAGGAAAAGTAAAAAAAGTGTTCCGCTTCCTATGTCTCAAGGCAAAAATTTATGCTCACAACACTCTTTTTGGCGTTCTCCTATTCACCACCAGAGGTTGAATCGATCGTTTAGTTTCTATTAAAAAGGCCTATAGTTCAACCTCAGACTGAACAAGACTTATTTAAGGTTAACACAACTCCACAAATCAGCAATGCGGTACACACATTTTGATAGCCTGATAGAATAATATGAATCATAATGTTGTTAAATGTCGTCAGTGTCAATATCCCATTCCCGACATTTTAGTTTTTCTATACTCCCTGCCTACCTTTCCAATCCCCAGCAGCGCCAGCAGTAGAGACAAGGAAGAGGAGCTTTTTAGGAATAACTCCTGGTAGAAGTTGGCTTTCTTAGCTCAGTTGGAAAAGGCGCTGCTACAAAGTAAGACCATGGCTGGGTTCGAATCCCGATTCTCTGCTTGACCGTAAAGCAGTTCAGTTCGGTTTAGCTCGCACTCTCGAGTTGTTCGGAAAGTTCGTTGCAATAGTGTGCATGCCACGAAATGGGAAAACATCGCTCGCGAAGCCCGGTGAAGGAATCTCGGTTGAACCTTCATCCAACAGGTTTGCTGTTCTTCCCACCGATGGGAATACCCAGCCAGCTGTGACGGACCAGCGCAGCAAGAGGAGGAAGAAGAATCGAGGCCAGTCCGATGGCACGATTGGTCATGACGATGTCACTGCGACAAACTTCACCGATATCGGGAGATTTCAGTGACACTGCCGAAAATGTCAATGCTGCCGCCATGAGTGCGGCAAAAGTGAAGCTACCTCCGTTGGTAGTGAAATATGCCCATCTCAACGAGCTCATCGCGCATACGAATCCAACTTGCGCAGAGTCGGCACCAAGGTGGTGCTCCTGAGGACTTTCAATGTGGAATCCTTCACCCACGACATTCCCGGTGAGAAACCATTCAAGGTCGCACTTCGACCCGAAGTTTATCGAAGCTGAAATTAAGGGCCGGTACAAGCTGGCCCCAAGTGCCGTCTATCGGATGATAAGGAGGGACGAGAATGTGAAGGCGTACCCGGATTGCCTTTATGTTGGTACGCTTCTAGAAGGGAACGGTGACGCTTAACGCGTTGAAAGACAACCGCTCAATCAATTTCATCAGTGCCAACGGTGTCTGAACTTCGGTCACGGCACCCGCAACTGCAACATTAAGCCACCCTGTAGCAATTGCACTCAAACCATGCCACCTTCGAATGTGCTGCGGATGAAGCGCCAAATGCCATCTGTGGTGGTGCTCACCAATGGTCCGACAAGCAGTGCCCTAAACACGAGGATTTCAAGTGCATCCGAAAACAGGCGTCCACCAACATCAACCAGGACGAAGGAAGGATAAGGCCCCAGCTTTCATGACGGAGGACTTTCCGCCTCTTCATGGACAAGTGAATTCACGGGTGCGATCCGCTTCCCCTCAAGAAACGTCTGGATCTTCTGCTGGACAAAGCTCTCCACCCCCCATGCATTCTGGAGACAACCAACAATGCAAAACAACAACCCTGATCTGATCTCAGCGGATGGACTGATGGAAATTTTCGTCAACGTGACCGGTTCTTTTCGTAAGTGCCGCAATAAGCCCGAGCAGATCTAAGTACTCGGTAAGTTTATCATCTAGTATGGGGTCTAAACCGCTTACTATCGGGATGCTTGCTCCTTAAGAGCAAACCCCACCTCGCTTGCAGACTTCCTCCGTAAGCATAGCATCGACGTGGGTCTCCTTACCAGCTCCAGGGGGGGGGAGGATGTTGCGATCATCTTCAGGAAATTGTTAAAATACCGCAGTCTGTCCCATATCCGCACCTTTATCATCGAGGCCCTTGATGTGGAGGTGGAGTCATCGACTGGATACGTCCAGTTCATCGCCGTCTACTGCCCTCGAAAGTGTGCCGCCAGCAGTGGACTAGCGGCTAAATTCAAGAAGGACCTGTCCACCATCACCCGTACCGGTTCCCGCTTCGTCGTTGGAGGAGATCTGAACTACCTGTAACTACCAGCAGAACCAGAACGGTCGTCTGCTGTTCGACCACTCGCAGCATGGACTGTACTCTGTTTGGTTCTCGGACGAGCCAACATTCATCTCACCCATCGACGCTAGACCTGTTCCTGACAAATGCCGGCTTGTCCAAGCCGGTAGCCTTGAATGAACTCAGCTCCGACCACCAGCTCCAACCACTCAGCTCCGGCTGCAACGTGGCCGCTGCTCCACGCCTGCGCTAGAACTACCAGCGTGTAAACTTGGCCCAGTTTGGATGCGTGGTAGACAGGCACATCATCGACAACCCGCCGCTTGACACTGTGGAGAACATCGACAGAGCGTTGTAGTTACTCCACCAAACCATAACCGTGACTGACGAACGTGCGTCCGACGAGTTTCTGTGAGGGGTACGTTTATTGTCATTGATTCCCACACCTAAATCTTGATTTGCCTGAGAAATATTGGTAGACGTCAGTTCCAAAGAACCGGAGATCAAGCGAGGAAAAGTGAAATGGCCGATCTGAACAAGGAGATTGCTTCCAGAATGGTCTCACTCCAGAACGAAAGTTTTGGGCGGCTCGTTCAGAATCTTGGCGACCGCTCCAGATCATTCAGGAAGGTTGCCAAGGTTTTGAAAACTAATCCCAAACTCGTTCCACTTCTCAGAGTCGAAAATGATGATGATCGGCTTTGAATCACCCCACAAGAGAAAGCAAATGCGATTGGCGAGCATGTCGCTTCACCGAATTTGATTGGCTCGAATATCCAAAGTCCGCTCGATAATCAGGTTGTGCAATGCATTCAAAACCTAGATGCTTCCGCTTGCGCCTCCGGCGGATATGATTACAACAAATTTGCTCAGCGCTGAAATGCACCAAGAACATGAAGGCTCCCGGGTTTGACGGTATTTAATTTGATCTTGAAGAGGCTCAGCACGGAAGTGCAGTCTCTTCTAACCGCTATCTTCAACAGATGCTTGGAACCGTACTACTTTCCAAGCGTCTGGAAGTTAGCAGCAATCATACCAATCCGCAAACCCGGTAAGGATCCAACATTGCCTTCAAATTACAGACCAATCAGCCTCCTTTCAGCGCTGAGCAAATTGTTCGAGAAACGTTCCAAAACTATGAAGTAATGAAATTGGGTTGTTAGCGGAATGCTTAAATAAAACAGCAAAAAAAGGTTATCTTCCATTTAATTCCACTTAATTCATTTTGGTATCCATGACAGATACGTATTTCGACTACAATGTGCAGTCTTCATCAGTGTCATTCCCATTAAAGAACTTACCAAAATCTTACCCCCTTAAGTACTCATACCTAGGTATAAAAGTCAAGATCACAGGTATAAAAATGAAACTACAATGTGTTGAATCGGAACCTACCTAACTAATAAAATCCAAAGATTTAAATAAACGAAAGGAGAAAAATCTATTCAACTCTCTAATAAGGAAAATCCCAATACCAAGCCGATCTGCCTTTTCCGTTTTTGAGTTTAATTTTTTTGAAATTATCAAGTTTTGGGTTTTCGCTCAATACTCCTATGCGTCGTAATCTTGTTACAGTCGCTATAAATCAATTGCATAATCAATTTTACTCAGTCTACGAATGACATACGTTTTTGCGATTTAGCGTGAAAAACCACTTAATTTTGAGTCAATCTTACCGGTTGTGATTACAATTCCGATAAGACCCTTCGAAAAACTATCTTTTGACATTGACTAGTCAGTTCGTTAAATGTGCGGTCGTGAGATGATCTATTTGGCTTTTATTTTGATTCTAAAAGCATGATATCTGGATCAACCAGAAAGGGAACACTGTCTCTTTCTTCCTCATCAGTTCTAATACGAGAAGTGTAAGTCACGTCAACAATGTTACATATGAATGATAAGGAGTGAAAAAGAAGCACGATTACACCCATTTATAGACCCACTTTGAGTACAGTAGACCGACATGACATCCACTTACCCGGAAAGATTTCGAGTTATAATGGTGAGTTTTACAATTTTCCGTCGTGCCTAAATAATATACAAGCAATAAGCATATCTGAACGTGCATGATAGCAGCGCCGGTGGTGTAGTGGTAAGCGTGATGGCCTCTCACCCTAAAAGGCCTGGGTTCAATCCCAGTCGGCACCGTCGGGATTTTCTGAGGCATAAAATCTCTAATCACACCTTCCTTCTGAAGGGAAGTAAAGCTATTTGTCCCCGGTCTATGAGTTGTTAGGTCGATATTGTTATAGATAGAGTTAGAGTGGAATAGAAATGAGTAGAATCTAGTGAGCGTGAAGCGTGATGGACCGTTT